CTGATTAATCATTTTCCTTTAATGCACACAGTTATGCTAACAGTCGCGCCTCCTGTGCCGCAGGTCTCTTGGTACCATACAATAACTCATCTTGTCATCAGCGCATTCACATTATTACTGTATGCAGAATCAGCAGCCTTTTTGTGCCATGTCTGCGATGCGAATAGCATGCCTGTTGGTGCCCATTTGGGCATTTCAGCATGTGGTTTGACCCCGCAAACACCTGTGATGACACCCCATCAGATTGACAATGCGAATATGTTTTCTTTGGCAGGTTCGATTGGTCGTACCTCAAGCGGGATCATGCCGTAAACCAGTGGTGGTACCGTATATTACATTCCTCAAGCTGGTTTCCGAAGTACAAACCCCGCTTACCAAGGGTTTTCCAACCCTCTTGTTGGTTCGCCATTTAAACATCCGGTAGAGCAACCGAATTTGGCTTGTGAACTGATGAAAAGTTACCGCAAAGATCGTATCCCAGGATTGAAATTAAGTCAATTTGATGGTAACGCTCTGAACTGGCACCAATGGTTTGGACAATTTACCTCAACCATCGATTCCGCCCTCATGAGTGATGACGAGAAATCAACTTACGTAAATATGCTCGCAACCTGAAAATTCAAAGAGGCTACCGTTGAAATTTGTTATTGTGGAGTTTTTTACAATGATAGAATTGCTACATTGCAGAAGAAGTTTGGCCAGCCTAATACTATTGTGGGGCCTTATTTGGATAAGTTATACAGTTTTCTTCCCCTCAAAATGGATAGTTCGGAGAATGTCATCAGTTTTCTCCTTCGCCGTTTCAGGACCGGTTGCAGTCTTTCAATCGTTGTCATTTCATGATGACATTGAAAGCTTGACTCTTCTGAAGCAAGCTGTCGGCAAGCTTAAAATTTTGAAAGAAGCTTGGTCAATGCATACCGTTAGGTATAATTGGCAGCGTCCCAGTCTCTTAGATTTCAATTTCAATAATTGGTCGAAAGAGAAATCGGAAGGCCTCGAAAGATTGCGCACTATTGGTCTCGGAGCTAAAACGGAAGAAACAGTTAAATCGAAATCAACGAAAGCATTTGCTTCAAACGCTGAAGTCCCTAGCAATTACAAGGGCAAGCCTAATTTTCCGCCGTGCTTGCTGTGTAAAGAAAATAATGCTCTTTGGTCTTGCGCTGCATTCAAAGAAAAGAATGCTACTCAGCGAGCGAAAGTTTTGGGCTGAGCATAAACTACGCTTCGCATGCCTCAATGGGATCATAGCTTCCGTAATTGCACGAAGGCAGAGAAATGTCCAAAACAGGACTGAGAGCACACACAACTTCCTTCTTCACGGTGCTGAAAGAATTTTTACACCAACAAGGAAAACGCATCAAGTTAACCCCATGAGTGTAAACCGAGAGATTTTAAACATGTTCCCATTCTTGCCGCTGTGGGGTGCAAAAATTGCAAAGATTTACCGACATTACTGCTGCCAATTACAACAGCTGGTGTATCTTCTGATAGCACCAGTGTCCAGACGTTGGCTCTTTGCGACGGAGCATCTACACATTCGTGAGTTTCCGCATCTCTCGCTAGCCGCTTAAAGTTGGTTGGTGAGCCAGTCCACTAATCCATCAGTGGTTTCAATGCCGTAAAAGTAACCAGCGAGTTAAATTCAACGTCTCGTCTGAACCGAATAACGCCGATATATCTTTTACGGTGGAGGCTTTTGTGAAAAACATTATTCACATTGATACAGAAGGTATCAATATACCTGAGTTGCAGCAATTTTATCTTCAATTAGCTCCTATAAGCCCTCTCAGTACAGCTACAAAAATGTAGAAGTTATCTTGAGACAGGATTACTACCACGCCGTTCGTCCGATTGAGTTCCTCTTAGGAGAAGCCTCTAACTCACCATGTTCCGTCCGCCTACCGATAAGTTCGGTCATTAGTGGTCCGTTGCTGCCGTCCACCGAGCTAACTTCATGTTATAATTGTGTTGTTGAAGATTCTTCTTTAAGTGACCAGTATGAATTGGAATCTTATGTCGCTTTTAAACAAGTCGATGCCCGTTGTTCAGCGGGTAAACGCGCTTTATCCTTCTTCAATTCAGAATCATTCCACTATGGTGAAAGATACATCGTGACTATGCTTTGTGCTGATAGAAAAAGTCAGTCTCCATAATGTTTATTACTCATCGCTTGCTCAATTTAACATTTTGGAGTGAAGGTTAAGTAAAGACCCGGAACTGCGCGATAGATACGCAGATACAATAAGGGAGGACATCAAGAAAGGTCATGTCGTTACCGTCGAACCGCATGATTCACGTTCGCGAACCGATCGCGTGTGGTATCTTCCGCACCACCCAGTTATAAATCCGAATGAGCCGGGTAAGGTGCTCCGAGTTCTTAACGGGGCTGCCAAGTTTCATGGCAGATCTTAAAATCAATCACTTTGCTTCAATTGCTTAAAGTTGCTTAAATTAGGTGGTTTGTTTCGACTAAGTATATCAGTCATGTTGGAGAATTAACGTTCGCAATGAACCCCGAAGTCAATGAGACGCCTTCATCGGTTAAATAAATACGTAATGCTGAACAGTCGTCGCTCGTCTTAGGTCCTAAATAGAATCATGTAAAGGGCACATTGGTTGTGAGCCGAGGTGTTGATCGCCTGTCGATAAAGCCATAACTCAAAGAATCGTTTTGAGTTTTGTATCTTCGGCGTTATTGAGCCGAGCCTTCTAAGGACTGGAGATTGGCCGTTTAAACCCAATTAGAGGTGATCATTGAAATACGGTTAAAGGGTCCTTCATGCGATACTGATAATTATTTGGAGACATCATCTACCTTAGTCACCGATGTTGCGTCAATCAAATTTCCGGATCATGGATTTGACTGGGAAAAAATCGTTTTTTACAAGGTTTAAACGAACCATTGCCTTTATGTTAAGGCTGCTGCCGTTTAATGCACAATATTGTGGTACCAGCATTGAGATCACCGATCCTCTTGTGCTGGATATTGCGGAAAAGAAGCTTATACATCTTATGCAAACCGACTCATTTCCCGCGGAATTGAAATTACTCACCTCTGATTAACCCATTAAAAGCAATAGAAAGATTGCCTCGTACTCCCCGATCTTGGGTCCGGCTGGTATCCTTCGGTCCACTGGCCGCATAAGACGTTTAGTTGACACCAAGTTTGATACTAAACACCCTATTTTGCTTCAGGCGCGGCATACATTAGTGAGCTTGTTGGCTCGGAAGCTCCACCATGAGCATTTTCATCAAGGCTTGGACTTAATGCGCGTCGTGATTAACTTAAAGTACGCTATACTGGGGTTGCGTCGACTGCTGAAGTCTATGGAAAACCACTCCGTTACACTTTGAAAGCGGAAAGCAGTCACAGTACACCGATTATCAACGAATTACCTGTCGAATGCCTCGGGTATAAGCAGCCACCTTTTTCCTCTACAGGCGTGGACTATTTTGGACCATGTTACGTTCCCATTTGAAGAGCACTGAGAAAAGATGGGGTTTTCTTTTCACTTGCCTCACCACCAGGGCTGTACACCTCGAGGTTGTGCCATCACTAGACACCAGCTCACATGTGATGGGCATCGAGCGTTTTATCGCGCGCCGTGGTACACCCAGTACTTTTTTGTCAGATAACGGAACAAATTTTGTTGGTGCAGAAAAGGAACTTCTTGCATGTATCAAAAATTGAATCCACATAGCTCCAACCGTCTTTGCACATTAAGGTATAACCTGGAAGTTTAACCCTATTAATGCACCCCATCATGGCGGCTCTTGGAAGCGCCTCGTCCGTAGCGTTAGACGTGTACTCCACGGTATACTAGGCTGTAGGTGGGTGACAGATGAAGTGTTAGGAACAACCTTCTGCTTAGTCAACCAGGATTTGAATGCAAGGCTGATCACTCCGGTAAGTACCGAGTCGCGTGATTTAGAAGCTTTAACACCCTACCTTTTTTGCTTGGGCAGTACGCCGCAAGCTTTCCGTCGCTCTCTCCTGGACATGACTTTGACTTCGATCATAAGAAAAGGTACGCGCCAGCACAGTCGTACGCTGACGCTACATGGTCTCGTTGGCTAAGAGAATATTTCCCTTTGCTTAACAAGCGTGTCAAGTGGAACACCCAATCTGACATTGTTCTCAAAATGGGTGATCTCGTATGGGTGATTGAGCCCGACAGCCCGAGAGGTTATTATCTCGCTCACATCTTTAAGCGTAACTACGGCAAAGACGGATGCGCACGTTCCGCCCTCATTAAGACAGCTACGAGCGAACTTCCCTTCCGACCGTTAATCTCGCCCCTGTTCTTCCGTTTCTGTGGGCGGAAGATGTTCACGCTCAAGCATGAAAGTACAAATGCATGTAACGAAAATAGATAAGTCACTAACAGGACTATAACCTAACGTATATGACAACGGCCAAACAGTCGGTCGACCGAGTTAGAATCCCCCATACGCTAACCTTTATACATGTATACTCGAGGGGCTATATACCTTTTTGATCGTTTTTTACCGTTTTTTCTCTCACACGGTTCAGTCTTGATTAAGTCTGACCTCCAAAAAAGAGCAATTTGTCTCAAGGGCAAATACCAGTCTTTTGAGAGCTTGCTTTGAGTTTGCAGCTATGAATTGTTGTTATTATGATCGACTAAAATGCCGAAATTTATCTTTTGTCTCAGTTGTTTACCGAAAAATGTCTCTCACTAATTTACGATTTACTATTGTCAGCAATTTAACCGATAGTTTTGTCGTAATTTTTCATTGACTAAGAAAAGCCAAAAATGGTCGTTTTTAGAGTAAATTTTTTGGCTCGACTTTAGCTAATTGAATGCACCATTCTAGTTCTGCTAAAAATCTCATCAAGTTGGATCTTCATAGTTCTGTGTCTGAAGTCAACCCAATTTGAGAAAAACGCATTTTTTTCAACTGATATTCGTTTTGTCCGGATAATTTAAATCATGTTTTTTTTTTGTTTGTCCTTAATCGGTATCTTTCAGGGGTGTCAGAATACAGAATGGAACGAAAAGTTGTCTGCAGAGGCTGAAAGTGAACAATTTCATTCTCAAGGGAAATTTGGTTAGCTTTTTTAAATAAATTATCTCTCACTAGCGAAGAACATTCAAAAGTTTTGAATTAACCTTTCACTCAAGTTAAAAAAAAAAACAAATATTTTTGAACTATTTCAAATGTTCAGAGCTAATTGGCTGTCAATAACTGCTACGAGCAAAATTTTTTTAAAGTTTATTTAGAGTAGGAGCGGATCTAGGCTTTTCTCGAGGGGTGGGCGGTTTTTATCTCGTTTTAGGTCAACCAAATTGGTTTTATGAGCTCTCCCAAATCACTAAAAAGACCCTACTATGGCCAAATTTTCTGCGCTGCAGGCACATTTAAAAAAAATAGGACAAAAAAGGCGTTTTAGGCACTTTTTGGAAATTTTTCACCAAAAAATTGCGTTTTTCGGCAGGCGCTTCCAAGGAGGTTTTAGAAAATAGTAAGGGTCCGTCATCCAAAAATTAAGATCTCAAATTAGTATAAAGGGGAAATTTTTTGGGACGAATCCCTGAGGGAGGAGCGGATGCGCGCCCTCCCCCTAAATCCGCTACTGATTTAGAGCAAGATTTAGCATCTACTTCAAGAGACCCTTTGGGCGAATCAGAGTCTTACAGTGCTTGGTCCGAGCGCATAGCCAACGAGTACGCACGAAAGCAACGACAAAAGAAGACGGCACACCAACCACCAAAGAGAAATCAACAGCCTAAACGACCTCAATTTCCGAGCTCAAGAGTACCACCGGCTTCTGCCTTGCTGACCAGAGCCAAAACGAGTTTTATTCCAAATTTTACCAGAATGTACATGAAATATCAGACGGCGATCGGGATTATGGAGTTGAAGCTTAAAAACAAGCAATTGGATATAAAAATTGAAAACATTCCGTTTCCCGGAGGAGAAAATCGTGCTTTGGACTCCAAGGTGATTGAAAGCTTCGTGGCAACTAAAACAGATCATAATATGGCATTGAAAACTTTAAAGCGAGAAAGAATTCGGTGGCATCCCGATAAATTTGCACAGACTTTTTCTTCACACTTCGAAATAACAGAAGTTCTTAAGTCTCGAGTTGTGGCTTTGTTTCAAAGCATCGATTTACTGTACAAGATACTATTAGCAAAACTTTCCGCAAATAAAACCAGTTGATATGATTGAAATATTTTGTAGTTAATTTTGTTTAGTTTTACCATTGCAATTAGCCAGCTTTATCAAGACTATTTGGAAGTTTTTCTCGTGCCTGTAGTAATGATGAGAATAGCCTATATCGTGGTGTTTCGACCACCACTTCAAGAGGATGACGGAACTATGGCGTAGCATGTTTTTTTCAGTCAATTCATAGCTTTCAAGAAATTTACTGGACAGTGATTTAAAAAAAATTGGGAATAATTTTGACCTTGAGACAGTGAATTGTAGTTGAAATTACAACCGAATTTTCAAAATTGTCAAAATAGCTCACCAAAATGATTGCGGGTTTTTAGAGGTCAGTTTTTTTTCAATATAACTTAAAGACCCCAGCCTCTAAACAATTTTCATTCAGCAACACCTGCCATGTAATTTTTCAATGGAAAAGAACACAAAAAAACGCCGGCAAAAAGGCAAACACGAAATTTTAAAGAACTATTTTGAATAACTTTCATCGTGAAGGTTAGAATGAATTATTTCAAAAATTTAAGGCGTTGTCCGATAAATTTGTTAAAAGCTATAAACTGCCCCACAGAAAGCCTAGAGGGGGTCAAGTGTGCATCAATTTGAAACCTTTTTTTAAGTCGTGGCTGGATTTAAAAACACGGAGAGTTGCAGTGTCGAGCAAAATGGGTTTGAAATTTTATTCAGTTCAGACTCAAGCTTAGCAGAGACTCGCTGAAGACTACGTTTTTACAACTCTCTTTTTAAATGTTTTGAGGTTAACACGTTCAAAATATGTTGAAATGTTTTTAGTAGTCGATGAACGTAGTTCAAATTAATCACATAATGCGCGTTGTATGAAAATACATGTTTTATACAGAATTAACACATGTTTGGGGAGGACATTCTACGTAGGCCACATAGGGGAGAAGGTTGTAAGGTTGATCCAATATTTTTTATCTGTTTCTTTAACGGATATCTGTTGGCACCAATAAATGTCACCTTGCGCTCTAAGTGTTTATGAATTGTTTTTTTTTCGTGTTGCAGTAAATAGACTTTCTAATTTATAAATATTAATTTTGTTTAATAAGTAAATACGTTTCTCAAATATGTCTTTAATTGCAGAAAACTTGAGAAAACAATTGAGATTTTTGTTTTGACGTCTTCGCTCATCGAATAGATTGAACTATGGCGTTTAGGTTTTTTTGTTCATTTTCTGGAAACTTCATGTGATTGTTTCAGCCTTAGAAAAACTAGTTTGATTTTTTAATTTTCAAAAGAGAATAAGAAAAATACAAGTCAAAAAGGAATCAAGAATAAGAAAATCAGGCGATTTCTAAACAGCTTTTTTTTGCCGTCACGACTTCAGTTTATTCAAGGACAAATCTCAGTTTTAGTTTTATGTTTGATGAAATAAAAGATACTATTGAGCCTAAATTTCTATGGCTTTGAATGATTAAAAGTTCAAATGATAAAAACAGTACATATTCCTAGAAAATAAATCTAATGAAGTTGGAACTGTTTAATTCAAAAATTTGTTTTTTTTTAGCAAAAATTATCACGTTTCTTTTCAAAAATGTCTGGAAATTTTCAATATAACTGGAAATTTTCGAGCAGTTTTTTTCCGGCACCGAAAAAAATTTTTATGAAATTTTTCTAATCCAAATCACGATCAAATGTACTTTAATATGATACAAACTGGAGTCCCTACGAGGTTTTGTTTTGGTAGTGAACAATGCTAGAAAAGTCGACGTTAACCCGAATTTTTTGTATTTTTCGAGAGTATCACAATTTTGTCTTTGATATTTGTGATTATCAGCATACTGAAATGTTTTGAACAAGGCTTAAGAAAATTACCTCTAATTGCCCTTTTGTATTTGATGACGAATCTTTTCTATCATGATCACTGATTGTTCAGCGTAATTTTTTTTCCTTTATCACAATTTGATGCGTTTTATAAAAAAAACTATATAAAGAGGTGTCACTTTTGGACGCTTGCAATTTCTAGCCCCTCAGTGGTCCAAAGATAGCCTGTTTGGGCTCTTTTTTTCTCATCGATTGACAATATCAGATAATCTAATTATTTTTTAAAAGTTACTGATATCGATTAATATAGTTTCGATCGACGATATGTCCTCATTAATAAATAAAATCCTGCCTACGCAAACTACGAAATGTGTAATTTTGTTGCCGACTTGACGATAGGGTGGAAAATCTGAAATCAAATTTTTTTTAGATGTATCAAAGGGTAGTCGAGAAGAGTCGTGATTTGTTTCTCATCTGAGCAGTTGTGTTTGCTAGCAAAACCATTTGTAAGCTTTTGGTCAGTTTTGAGACTTATTTGTCATTTTTTGGTAATCGCGTTCATTCTTATCAATCACTATTTTAGGTGCGTCCACTTGTCATTTAAGATTTGTTATTTTGCGGTAAGTATCAAAGTTGTTAAAAGTTTTGACGCTGAAACTTATGATGGTTAGAAAACGCAAACAAGAATCAAGCTGGTATGATGTGTTGGAAGAGTATACCTATTTTTTAATTTTTTGAAGGCATATAACACTCTTACCTGAATCTTGGCTTGTTTTCCGTGAAACTTTACATTAAAAAATTTTCTAAGTAAATGCGGCTCGCAAACCTTGACGGGTGTTGTCAAATTGCTTCTGCATGTCTAAACCAAAAGGTGATATCAGCCTCCAAAAAATTCGATTTTTGTAAAGTAACAAGAAGTTTGCTTGGCCATGCCGCATGATCTTAGCAAGTTGTAATGTGCTGCTATGATGAACAAAAACAAATAGCTATTACTTTGAAATTTTCCGATAATATACTTCCATGGAATTTTTAGCTAATTCTCAAATTATTTTTTATAAAGTTTTGTCTTTTTTTACGACTCTCAACAATGCCTTGACGCACACACAATATCAGCTTGCATGATAAAACTAAAAAGAAATATGCTTAATGATGCGATAAGCCATTTTAAGCATAATTTCTGGTGATTCCAAGGTATCTTAAAAAATTTTGAGATTTTCTTGCTGACGTTTGTAGGCTTTATGCATTCTCGAAAAGTGTCTTTATTTGTAGAAAACTCGAGACGGGAATTGAGGATTTTGTTCCGACGTCTTTGCTCTTCGATTAGCTTGAACTATGGAGTTAAGGTTTTTTCGTTCAATTTCTGGAAATTTCATATGACTTACAGCCTCAGAAAAAGTAGTCTGATTTTTTTAAATACTGAAAAATTGATTTTACTGCAGAACAAATCTTTTCATTTGACTGTTCAAAACTAGATCCTTCGATTTTCAATCTTCAGGCAGATCAATCTTCAACTTTTTAAATAAATATTTTAAAAAATGTTTTAAAGAGACTGGCTATCCTTGATCATTTCAGAAATTACTTCGTCTTACCGATAGAAGTTTTTTTGAAAGTAATTTTGATTTGAAAAAATTCAAAACAAAAGGTCAAAAGAGAATAAAACAATGAAAATCAGGCGATTCTAAACAGTTCTTTTTTTGCCGTCACAATTTTGAAACTTTGCACTTTCGGTTTATTTAATGACAAGTTTCAACGTTAACTTTATGTTTGACGAAATAAAAGATACCATTGATCCTAAGTTCCAATAACAGCGAGTAATTAAAAGTAAAACAAAAAAGCCAGTACTATTATACAATTGTAAAACAGGGACTTTCCACAAACTAAATCTAAAAAAAAGAACGATCTTTTTCAAAAATTTTAATATTTAGCAAAAGTTATCGCTACGTTTCAGAAAGGCCGTCAAAGATGTGCTGGCCTTTTTCTAGAATGTTAAGAATTGTAAAAGTGAAAAACTACGGCCTAAAAGCAAGTCATCCGCTCGGTACTGTGAGTTCAGAAAAAAAGGTTGCGTGAAGTTTGGGCGCCCCGTGAACATACAATCAGTAAAAGTACAGAGCAAATTACTTAGTGTTATTCAGTATGGCTTGATTTTTTGCGTGGTTCTAGAGTATACGCTTAAACCTATACTTGTGATTCTTAGTTTTATTTTTCCAAATCGGATGAAAGGTTTCAGAGATATAAATTAGTTAATATGAAAAAAGCCGAAGAAATTTTCAACAGTAAAGAACCCATGATGGCAAGGCAGTGAAACAAAACTGCTGAAAGTATCTCGAGTGGAACAGAATAAATGCCAAAGTTTTCTCGCGTTGTTTTTGTTTCAGCCGAAAAACTTGATCAAAAAATAATGCCAACAAATGTAAAAAAAAAAGACTGTTTAAGCAATGAGCTGTAAAGTCGACTATCTGATCTTTCCAAACTGGTGGAACCAGCTCTGAATTAGTGTTTATAAACCAATTATATTATTGATAAAACTATCTTTATAAAATATTACTAACTAACCAATCATATTCCATCACTAACATTGACACTTATTTGTAAGTGCTGAAAGTACTTGTAGTTTCAGCACCAGAACATTTTGAATAAATGTTAAACTACAGTTGTTCTCATTCTGAATAAACTCCAAGAACTAACCCGCAAAGTCCAGTATACACTAGATCTATTGAGACTAGGAGATATAAGAGTAAGATTAAGATTGGTATTAGACTAAGAAGTTGTACGAACCTATCCAGCCGAAATTAAAGTAGCGTGACAAACAGACGGTGTACCTTATCTGAAATTACTCTATGTGTACAGTACCTCGTGCATAACTCACTGGTGCAATTTGTGGAATCACAAAAGCATTCAGCTGTTCTTTTTGTTTTACAAACTATGAGTGGTTTGACACAGAACACAAATGAATTTTTATAACGTGCAGTCAGTAAGAGCTCACCATGACCAACTCACTGTTTCAAATGACAGTCTGAGCAGCCTACTTGTCTTTTTGAGCTTAGACAGACGTGGTTCTCTGGTAGCGATCCTATCAATGTTTCAAACTAGAAGGTTAAAATAAAATTATTTTCACTAACCGTCATTAGCATCGATCATATAATTGCTTCTGAGAATTTCTTTTTCAAACAGTAAACTGAACTGTCAGTGACCGTTTTAGTTTTCTTTTTCTTTTAAATTCTCAGGTTGAAAATGCAAAATACGATTCAATTTATCTGTTTTTAAGTTACAAAATGCTGGAACTTGTTTAAATATTATCTTTTAA